ATTTACTATGTTTCTATGTTTTTGGTAGCTTCTCTGTACATTAATCTACATTTTTAAACTCAAAACTGGACGTTAGTGGATCAAATTAAAGTGACATTAGCCAGTAAATAAGCCATGAGGACAAATGTGATGAGAATCTGTCGGGGTTATTCCTTTTTCCACCCGCTAACCGCCTCATTGGGAGGCCGTCGCACACATAAAATCGCATTTACAAAGCAAATTAAAGTGCCTTTAAGGAGTTAAGTGTCCTCCGTGCATTGATACGACTTCTGTTTATCCCCGACCATAAGAGGAGAGCATGTTTGGCCAATTTTCTGAGCCCCGCGGATCTCCATTAGTGGAAGAGACGCGTAAACGTTGATGGGACGCTTAAAAAGATGGACGTGTTTGGTTTTGTGGGACCTGGAGGAGACGAGGGCCTTCGGGGAGAAATGGCTCGGTTAATTAAATCCCCTTTTATAATCTGTTTCTGTTTCTATTCCCCCCCTTCTTTTCCCCCTTCTCTCTTTCACTTCCATCGCGTTGAGAAAATGGAGCGACAGAGGCTGTATTCAGACGTGATCCGGGAGCTGAACAAAAAGATAAGTAGGATCCCCTTTCCCCCGACCAAAGACCCAGAAGGCAGCCACAAGAAAGTTCCCAGGATGAAGGTGTGTGTGTGTGTGTGTGTGTGTGTGTGTGTGTGTGTGTGTGTGTGTTCAAGTCAGATTTAGTCTCTAAACAATCCAGCTTTCTCTCTGGAGTCCCACAGCTTTACACCATAAGGACGATTAGGGCACAGATCAGGAAAAAAACGAGATGATCATCATGGGAAATGTGATGAGATGCCTCAGTTCCTGCAACAAATCCTGGCTTTTATATTTAAAAAGCATTTAGGATACGAAAACGTCAACTGAGTTTGACTCTTTCTTTTATAGTTTCAGTCATTTTTAATCTTGTAACAGTAAAAAGCACCATTTCTACTTTATTTCCAATATTTGATCTATATAGATGTCGTTTTCTATCCGTCTCATTTATTTGATCTATTATTCAGCTTGAAATAAAGACGTCTTATCTTTTATCTTTCTCTTCTCAATCTTTATCAACATTGAGCGATTTCGCTTTTTAAAAAGTAGGATTAAACTTTATTAATGCAGCAAACGATGGACTTATAATTGGATTATTTTCATCTCATGGAAACTTTCTTTTTGCCTTTAGTTTCTACAATCAAAAGTGTGTGGAAAACTGATGATTATGGGATGTTTTACAGCTTTTTTCCTCTTTATTTTATCTTTATCTTTCTTTTCTCAATCTTTATTAACACTGACCTTCAGGAAGATGATTTCGCTATTTAAAAAGTAGGATTAAACTGTGTTAATGCAGCTAAAGATGGACCTACAGTATAATTGGATTATTATTATGTCATGAAACTTTATTTTTGCCTTGAGTTTTTACAATCAATCTCATGTGGAAAACTGATGATTTTTGGAGGTTTTACAGCTTCTTTCCTCCCTTATTTGATCTTTTATCTTTCTCTTCTCAATCGTTATTAACATTGACCTTCAGGAAGATGTTTTAGCTATTTAAAAAGTAGGATTAAACTGTATTAATGATGCTAAAGATGGACCTGTAATTGGATTATTTTCATCTCGTGAAAACGTTCTTTTTGCCTTGACTTTTTACAATCAAACACATGTGGAAAACTGATGATTTTTGGAGGTTTTACAGCTTTTTTCCTCTTTATTTTACCTTTTATCTCTCTCTTCTCAGGCCCTGGAATATGCTAAGACTATATCCAAACCTTTGGCCTCTCAGCGACCACAGAAACTTCAACCTGGGGGTTCCTGTGAGGATTCGCCCTTCTGGGAGGGGTCGGACGCCCTGGAGCAGCTCCGAAAACGGCACCTGGAGGAAAAACAGGCTGTGGCGCGATTAAGAAAGATGTACGCCGTCTGAGTAGGCCGGGTAAATAACGGAGGACAGTCTATGCCGCCTAAACTGGCCCAAAAAGGCTAAAAAAACCCGGAAAAGACAGACCAAAATGAGCATTAAAGGCCAGAAAACAGGCCCAAATGATTCAGCTCAAGTCTCAAACCCAAAAAACAGACGCACGGATAATTAGATCTAAACAGAAATTGAATGAATAATTAAATAAAATGGAGATTTAATTAATAAAAAGACACGTGGCTGCCCACCGAGAGCGTGAATTAGAAGAAGATCAAAATAGATGAAGCCAAAAACAAACAGAGTTTCAAAGGTTTCCCGGTTAAAGAGCGAACCAGTGAGCAGGACTTAGTTCCTGACTGGTTTATTCTGGAAAAACTTGCCTCATCTTCTATTAAAGTTGTTAAACTTGTCACCCCAAAACCCCAAACTGCTCACTGAGGGCCTTTAGTTTGGTACAAACTCCCCCCGGCAGTTTTATATCTGCACCACAGCCCAAAAAGAACAACCTCACCCTGGATCCAAAATGGCCGCTTTCCAAAATGGCCGCTTTCCAAGATGGCGGCCATGTTCCAGACCTGGGCCGTTTCCCTCCTGATTCTGAAATAAAACTGATCCACACTTTCCTCTGAGGAATTTAGCTCCAAAGAAACAGCTTTAGATTGTTTATTAATTAAAAATTCATCCATCCAGCCCTTTATCCTCATCAAAGGAATCTATTTAAATTTGAATATAATCTCTCTATGAAGGGATTTATTTCTGAATCCGAAATGTTAGTAAAGCGAGTTTAGCTCCTCGCTAAGGAGGGATAAAAAAATCCAGAGCAGAGGGGTCAAAGGTCATGTTTACAGCTTCAGCCGCACGGGAATGAACAGAAATACAGATAAAATCAGCGTAAAACTGATGAGGAGAATAAAAATCTGCTGAGTCATCCTCTGATCTGTGAGCAAATCTGATAAAAGGAAATAGAGACAGAGGCTAATATGTTTGGATACAAACTCAGAAACACAAAGGAGGACTTTTCTGCCCGGATCGTTTATTTTATTTAATTAAATTAGATTTTTTTTGTGGGTCAGATTCCAGACGCTTTGTTTTTATCCCCTTTTTTTTCAAACTTCCCTCCCTCAGAGGGACTCGGGCGCATATAAAAAATAATCCGAACCCTCATAGACGAGCAGGTTAAGGACAGGTTAACTTTCAGGAGTTTGCTCTGATCAGATCCAAACTTCTGATATGCAAACAGAACCTCCAACAGATTAAATCCTCCTTTTAAAAGGTGTTTAAACGCCTTAAATTACACATTATTACAGACTTATTAACAGTTTGAGGTCGTTGACCTCAATATGCATCCATCCCTTTGTGATCCAAACAGGATTTTAGGTCTTTAAAGTCTCTAAAATGGAATAAAAATATACAAATTTGCACGTTAGTTTGAACTTATCCAGATGGATCAACATCTAGACTGAAGAATCTTCTAATATCTTCAGTTTAAACCGTTAAAAAACCGAATGAGGAACATCTTCTGGTCCGGATTCTCCGTATTCTTCTTCTTCTTCTTGGGTCTTAAAGATGTTCTTCTTCTTCTTCTTTTTTAAAGTAAAGCCTCTCTGGCTGTAGCTAAGGTCTTTGGAGACCTTTTGAGTGTTTATGCTTCCAGTTTGAACACATCCAAGCTCTTATATTTGCTTTATCTGTTTAAAAATAATACAAATATCTGTATTTTGGCTGTTTTAATTGACTTATTTTTCTAAGATCCGTCATTTCGGAGGGAGATGATCTGTTAGATTTGCTGGCAGATGTTTTCTTAATCTTCAATAGAGGGATCCATCCATCCCAGATGGATATTTAAGCCCACACCCCTTTGTTTTTTTTGTTTTTGTCCAAGGATTACCAACCTGTTACACTTTCCTGCTAAAATCTTATTAAAAAGAGACCGGAAATGGGGCCCAGGTGACCCCGAAAACCCCCCAAAAATGGACGAATTAGACTTTGATGCTCCACTAATTTGTGTTTTAAGGTGTAACTCCACCCCCC